TGCTAGAGGTAGTAAGAAATGATCAATGTATTCTGACACTGCATATGACTCACTACCACAGTCAGATATAATCGGGCGGCCTTTAGGGATTTTATTCGAGATAAACCACTCCTTGGTTGGATTCTTATGGATTTTAGGCAAAGTGTACAAATGTCTCTCGCGACAATCAGGTTTGGCAGACAGATAGTCATATTGTTTCTGTTTGAGATAACTAGTTTTGACTAAATCGGCAAGAATATTATTAATCATGTTAGCAGTTTCTTTGAAAATTGGTTTCGGTAAAATGGCATAATGTTTAGGATTATTCAGTTGATTCTCTGCTTCTGAAACGTAATCCTCCCTATTCAGAATGACACAACATGAACCTTTGTCACTCTTTTTAATAACAATGCTATCGTCTTTCTTAAGTAAGTTTAACGCTTCACGTTCCACTCGTGTGAGATTAGGCTTTTCGTGTGTTATGGAAAGGTTCACTGTTTGGCTATTCATACTAGCAAATGCTTTCAATATTTCAGGATGGATGGCGGCCTGAGGGGGTGTCCACGTGGATTTAGGAATAAACATTGTTCTAGCACCACGTGGGGGGTGGTTTCGAAAAAAATATGTGCAGCTAAGATTTCGTTGAAATCGTTCAATGGATGGTCGGAGATAATCCAAGTTAGCTATCTTTGGTGTAGGGATAAACTTAAGTCCACGGTCTAAGATTGAATGCTGAAGGGGTGTGAGAATTTTGCGGCTCAAGTTAACTACAGTTTGGCCTAGCGGTGGCCTCTCAGTCTTTTTAGCCCCAGTAATTAGTTTAAAGACTTACTCGATGCTTGAAGCTGGTGTATCCAAAACAAATAAATGCTGTTTGCTGTTTCTGGAGACCAATGAAGATTATCAACTGTTTCGAATTCTTCTTCGTAGGGTGGTAAGATTGTTGCGCTGTTGATACTGGACTCCATCATCATGTTGTTGAGGGTGCTGAGGTTCTGTTGTGCTTTCTTCGAGATTTTATTTGAGATGGGTATACATGTGAAGAGGATCTTGGAGTTTGGGAAGGTTTTGTTGGCTGTGGCGATTAATTTCTGGGCTTGGTTAAAGGAGGTCTTTGGTATCTGATCACGGTTGTTGAGGCCTACATGAAGAATAATGGTAGTAGGTTTGGGATCATGGTCGTATGATTCCAGGATTGACTGTATGTGATGGATTTGGGCACCGGGGTAAGAATGTATTTCGGTG